AGTACACTGCTGAGGGAAGCAGTGGGCGGGTCAGGAGAGGTCTGCCACGCCATGTGGTCACCTCCGGGGCAGGCAGGGATCGAACTCATGCTGAAGTGGCTTAAGCTTCTTAGTGCAGTGCTTTAACCTGCTGTGCCACCAGGGAAGGCCCCATTTTAAGATTTTAACTACTACATGAAAGTTAGAACTCGAACAGACTATTAAGATCACTTCATTTCATTTTATGGTGAGTAAAATGGAGTTCAAAAAAATTAAAATCTTGCAGTCTTCACTCAACTTTGGGATAATCAAGCCTGTCTTCATGTTTGAATCATCTGGGGTGCTTTTTAGAATAATGCAGATGACTAAACCCCACCACTTTGCAAACTGAATTAAAATAATCTGGGCAGGGAGAAAGGAGGTTTGGGGCATTGGTACTTTTTTTACAGCTCCCTAGATGATTCGTAAATGTGGAAAGACTCGTGCTGTGCTGCTCCATTTAGACTAGACCGATTTGGCTTCAAGGGCTATTTCTTAATGATTTAAATCTACTAGGTGGAGCAGAAGACCTGCGCTGGACTGGGTAGTTAAGAGGATGAACAAAAGAATTAGAGGCATATCGCCTGGTAAGCAGGTTGGGACCTCCATGAGTAAGGGCTAGGTCACAAAATGCTAGTGACTAAGGTAGTGAACTATTAAGTACTAATGGAAAGACACACAAAAATGGGACTATTCAAGGAGACAAATTTGACTGGATTGCTTTAGCTTGCTCACTCTTTCTCCCCAAGGGATTTTTTAAAAAGATTTATTTATTCATACAGAACTGGGGTACAAGTCAGAGTTGCAGGGGCAGTGAGAGGCTTCACCAGAGACAGTGGGGAGCAGAACAGGAAATGGTAAAAGTACACTGCTGAGGGGAGCAGCGGGCGGGTCAGGAGAGGTCTGCCGCCATGTGGTCACCTCCGGGGCAGGTGGGGATCGAACTCATGCGGAAGCAGCTTTAGCTTCCAAGTGCTGTGCTTTAACCTGCTGGGCCATCAGGTAGGGCCCTCCCCTCCCCTCCCCTACCCTCCCTGAGGGATTTTAAGATTTCTGGTTTTTTTTATAAATACATTTTTTACATTATTCTTCATTTTGTACATTTTTTCATCTCAGTCGTAATCCCTATGGACTTCCCACCACCACTTCACCTGTGTGCCATCACCATAGTCCCGTGTGATCTTCCCACCCCAGTTTTGATCTTTTTCTCCTCTCCTCCCCCATATAATATCTTGGGTTTATGTTGTTACTTGATGTTTTTTGACTTTATTACAATTACTATATATAGATTTTTTTTCCTGATCCCTTACACACCTGCTATGAGTGAATCCATCCTTTATTTTTCTTTTTGGCTTATTTCACTAAGCATGATCAATTTATTTATTTATGCATACAAGAATTGGGGTACAGACTAGAGGTGCGGTGAGGGGGGGGATAAGAGGATTCCCCAGAGACTGAGTGGGGAGCAGAACAGGTGACTACTGAGAGGAACAGTGGAAGGGTCAGGAGAGGTCTGCTGTGCCATGTGGGTCACCGTCCTGGATGGGGCTCAAACTCATGCTGCAGTGGCTACAGACAGCATCAGTTACAATGCTGCATTTCAACTTATTCTCCACCAGGGAGGGCCCAGGATTTTAAGGTTTAATTGATTCCATTAATCATTTTGGGGGAAAATCAATACTTCCATGATACTGGCTCTTCTAACTCATAGAGTATTTCCTATGATTTTAAATTTTTAGCCATTTCTCTGAAGAATGTTTTATATACCATTTCTTAGATTCTCTTGAAGGGTTTGATATTTTGCTGCCAATTTATGATTTATTGTTTTAAATTCCACTCTTTGTTACTGACACACAAATATACAGTTAATGTTTGTTTACTGATCTTCTGTGCAGTGACTGCAAATGTGCTTACCAGTTCTAGTAGCCTATCCATACAATATTTTATCTCCACAGTCTTATGGCTTGAAAATTATGATGGTCTCCTTTCTGCCTCCACATTTCTGATGATTTTTTCCCCTTTTTTCCTATTTAATTGTGTGACCTGGTCCTTTGAGTCCATGTTAAGCAAAAATGGTAACAGATGGATGTCATCCCAGTCTTTATCATCTGTCAGCTTTTGAAGAGCATCTCCCTCAAAATGAGGCTTTGTTTTTCTTTCCACAAACTAGTATTGAATCTTTGCAAGTGGTTTTACTCCTTCTTTTGAGGTGGTTATATGGTTTTGCACCTTTCTGGAAAGAAGCATGTAACAGTATGCAGTGAGGCAGTTAAGAAACCTGGAGTATGCCAGCTTCTCACTAGTCTTGAGCTATACCTAAAATGTTCTTAAAATTGTAGTTCTGATTAAGTACACATGATGACCTGAGATAAGCCCTCTGAGGGTCTTGGCTCAGTTCCTGGTATGCAGCTTAGTCCCTGATATGAACCTTGCCTCATGCTAGACCATAGACCGCCATGAGGCAAGATGGACATGGGGGTCCCATGACGACTGACCCTTTACTCACTGCTTGGTGTGCAACTCTACAACTCACCTCTTGGTATATAGCTATGTCATAGCTGACTACGTTCCAGCTGCTGCCAATATAAACCACCCCCACTCTTACCCCGACACCTTGTAGAAACTGAAAGTGTATATAAATCCCTGCCTTCCTACAAATGGGGTTCAGCCTTTGGATGCAAATCCACCACAAACATACACAAAAACCGTCCATCTCTTTCAGAGAAGCTAAGTTCCAGGGCTGGGATTCTAGTCAAGCTGCACGTTATTATTTTGCAGGAAAACAGGCTGCGTTAGACCCGTTCATATTGCTGAACCTCCTGCCAAATTCAACTGACAAGTATTACACTTACAACGGCTCACTGACTTCTCCCCCCTGCACTGACACCGTTGACTGGGTTGTTTTCAAAGACACAGTCAGCATCTCAGAAAGCCAGGTAAGCTTGGAAATTCAAACAAATGAAGTGATGTTAAGCAAATTCAAAATTATTTTCAGAGCTTAGAGAATATGTTTGAAACCGTGTATCAACACCTTTGAAGCAGCTATGGTAGATTATATGTTCAATTTTCTTTTCAGTTGGCTGTGTTTTGTGAAGTACTTACAATGCAGCAGTCTGGTTATGTCATGCTAATGGACTACTTACAAAATAACTTTCGAGAACAGCAATACAAGCTCTCTAGGCAGGTGTTCTCCTCATACACTGGAAAGGAGGAGATTCATGAAGCAGGTATGTATTAAGCTGTAATATTTTATAGCTCCCATAAATGTGTTGTTGTCATGGGTAATTGAGATGCAAAATAGACAAGACACAGAATTTTAGAAATATTTTGATTATTGGTTTGATAGTAGAGCTGAGCTGTTTAACTTTCCTGAATCTCAGTCACCCTCGTTATAAAGTGGCAGTGAAAAAGAATCATCACCTCATGAAAAAAAACTATTTTGCAGATGAGAAATACTGAAGTGTAATAAGGAAAGTGATTTTTCTAGACACACTGTTACAGGCGGCAACGGTGCATGTGTACCTCTGAAATTCATTTTATAGCATCTGCCTGTGCTATGAGCTATGAGAGAAGAATGAATAAGGTGCTGAGGTGTTCAGAGCTGAGGATATTCTGGTTGTGGTGATCAGGAATTCCCAACCCCAGCCCCCATGAGATTCACATCTGTACTGAGTCTTGAGGTGTGATTTGGAGTTTAAAGCTCCCATCTCCATGTTGACAGTTCCCAAAAAACAAGCCTAGGGCCCTCCCTGGTGGTTCAACAGGTTAAAGCACAGCTCTATGAAGCTATCACAGTCACTGCAGCATGAGTTCAATCCCCAGCCAGGGAACTGACCTGCATGGTGTGACCCACCTGCTGCTCCCCTCAGCAGTGTATTTCAGTCCATCTGCCTGTTCTGCTCCCAACTCTGTTTCTGGTGAATCCGCTCACCCCCCACATGTATCCCTGTTCTGTATTTATAAATAAATAGATCTTTAAAAAGAAGAATAAGCAGCCTAGTGCTTAGTAGGGATTGAAAGCAAATGCACTGAGTTACTCATGAATAAAAAGTTAGCCTTTACCCCAGTTCCCTATACTTAGGAAAGAAGTTTGTGCTTGCCAGACACAGTGCAGAGGACAGAGAAGGCTCTGAGGTGCCCTTGATGTCTAGTGAAGCCTTTGAAATAGTCCCGAGGACACAAGCAGTTGCCTCCACTGATTTGTCCTTTCCAGTTTACTCTGAGGGTGTTCTGGTTCATGAAAGAAATAGCTGAAGTGGCCTTTGCTTTGGGGATTGAAAACCTTTCGAAGTAGATGGCCTTCTTTGAGCTCAGCTCTGCCATGAATTTTTAGTCATGGGTAATATTAATTTAATAACCATCTGTTTTTGAAGATGAGGCATTAAAATGGCATGCTTTTTACTATTTTAATGTGATATTTGTGAAAACTGCTTGACCAAAGATTAAAACAGAAGCTGCATTTGATGTGGCATTAAATTTCAAATTAAATCACTCCCAAGTAAAGAAATTTAATTCCATTTCTATCAGCAGTACTAAATACTATAACATCCTATCTAGCTAATAATGGACAATCTATTAGGAAAAAAGAAACTGGACATAACTATCTCCATTTCTAAAAATACAGTAGACCAGATAAAAATTATATAAATGATTCTTATCACACCCTTCTATAAATTATATTTTATTAAAGCACACCAGTGACTCCTCCTTGGCTTTAGAATAAAATCAAAAGAGTTTGTCATTACATATAGGTCCTGTTTATGCCTTACTGGCCTGAGGGCTTACTCTACCCCAACAAGCTTCCTCCTTCTTCCTTCCAATCTCCTCTTTTCCAGCTGACCTCCACTCCCAGGTTGCATTTATAGATGCTCTTTCCTGTCTTAGGCATGCTCCTACCTGCTACCTCTATTCGTTTTCTCCTCCTTATTCTTCAAGACCCAGGAAGACCTCTGTTCCTGGTGCAGCCATGTCTGACTGCTCCACCCATCAAGACCGACCCTCGCCAGCCCACAGGGTTCTGCATGTGGGAGGGCACCATGCCCAAGCTCTATGAGGTCAACTCACCTGGAGCTGTGCCATGTGACTGGGGGTTCCTAGCTGAGCGTCCAAAAACTCAGAGCATTTGCTGTAGTGTGATCATGGTCCATTTGTTTGGCTTCCCACTAGGTGTGAGCCCTATGGAGGAAGTAACCAAATTTTTATCTCTTTACCTCCATTGCTAGACTGTAATAAAGCTCTTTTTCCACCAAATTTTCATCAGATGACTAAGAGGATCTATCTCCATATCAGAAAGAGAGGGCAGACTGTGTTTGACGGACACCATTCAATGTGTAAATCCATAGGTAGTTCTCTTTTAATGTCGAACATTTTCATATAGAACATGGCTCTACATATAGAACACATCTACATTTTAATGTAGAACACAGTTAAGTGGTAAGTTAGGAGAAATAGTCGCAAGGTAATAATGCCAAGTATTAAGTGAACCAGAGTGTTTTGCTAGGCTTGGCTACTCAGTATGATTTAAACCTCATATAACCCATATGAATTATTACTCATATATATATAGGGGGCTCATGGGGTGATATATATATGTGTTTGTGTACATATATATACGTGTGTGTGTGCACACACATGTATGTATATATATAGATAGTTTTCCATGTTTAAGACTTGTGAATATTATTAATGCATTTTAGCTCTCATTTCTTAGCATTGCAGTATATTTAATGCAAATTAAAAAAAAAAAAATATATATATATATATATATATAAAACATGTTTTCAGGTCAGAGTGGGATGAAAGGAGTGTCTTTTTAACTAGATGATATATCTGAGCAATAAGAAAATTTCTGTAATTTCCTGAAAAATATCATAATTAATTATACATCAGTAGACTCACCTCTTTGAAGGCCAGTGGTTGTAAATAGCACCCACTAAGGTCATTTGTACAGTGTTACTATGTGCAGCAAAGTGATATGATGGTTATTTACTTCTTAGAAGACTATATATTACAAATTAAAGTGTTGATGAAGTTACTGTGTCTCTAGAGAAGATCGACAGAATTAGATCTTTTGGCTGGCTGTTTTTCTGAAGTGAATCATACAACCTTTTTAAAATACAAAGCAATTATCACTTTTAAGATTTGTGGCAGTGTTTGCATTAGTGTTTTTTTGTTTGTCTTTGTTTTTGTTTTTTTAAGATCTCCTACTCCCAAGCCGCAAAAGCCTAAACGTTGATTGTCTTCTGAATCTGTAAATCTTTAGATTCCTCTCAAAAGATCTATGTTGATCTTTTTTTTAAATGAGGCTATAAAACTGAAAAAAAGCATTCAGTTTGTGACTTTTTTAAAAAATCAGTGTCCTTTCGAGAAGCACTTTTGATAATTGATTTAGGTTAAATTGTGCCAACTTTCATATCAGTGGGAAATAATGGAGTAAAATCTACTGAGGTTATTGACATTTTCTCAACCACACTTCAAGAAGCTTTTCACCCCCCACCATCCATACTTTTACTCATAATCCATGTTGCTGAGACTAGACTTTCTCCCCTGGACAGTTAAACCTCCTTTCAAGATGGCCACACCAAGCCGCCCACCAGGGAGGAAAGTTGTATCTCCCCTTACCCATCTGTATCCATGTCCGCACTCAGCTGAGCTGAGAGGCTGTCATTGCAAAGAAATGTCTGATTCTCCTCCCTTGTACTTCTTCGTGATTTCTTTTCCCACCATTTTTTCCTTTGCCCTTGTGACACTCAGTGCTTTGCCTATTCATCTTTGGTGTCTGCTTTGCAGGTCTTGTGCCTTTCTGGTAGATCCTCACTCATGAAAGTTCATATACATGATGAGAGGATAAAGGACTTCATGTCAGCAGAAGTTTGTGAAGTTTTGATACCTATTCACGGAAAAATGTGAAATTTTGTGAAACATAACTTTATTTGGTCTGAATGGCAGATTTTTATAGAAAAAAAAGACTACAGAAGACTGCATTTTTACAAAACATTTAGAGAGGAATGCAGAAAAGGGGGGAAGGTTTTTTTCATGCTGCTATAAATGGAATCTAGAACTTCGGAACTAAAAGCACCTACTACATTTTCTAGTTGACTAATTTAAAGGTTAGAATTGATCCTCAAATGAGCATCCAAATAACATCAGGCCATGTCTTTACCTGTGTGTCTGGAATGTCAGCCACCAGGGAGAAGTTGAATGATAAAAACAAAACAAGGTTTAAGTAAGAACATTTATTACTCCCTGACAAAGGAGCAGCAACCTTTATTTGTGAGGATCCCTTGCTATTATATTAAGTGCAGTTAAATTATTTATATTGCTTACTTGTATTCCATGGGACTTGGCATAGACCCAGGTTGGTCATAGCTGAGGTCTTGCAGAAACCAGATTCTCCTTCTTGGCAGTGTTTCCAAAGAATATCTGAGGAGGACCCAGGTCATGTGTAGTTTCTGGAAAGGAATTCGAGCATGCAGTTCAGTCCTGAAGCAGGAATTGGGACCTTGACATAGTTCAGAATTCACTATATGAAGGAATTTATAATACGTTCCTATTTTATTGTCTCAATTGGAAGCTTATATATGGTGTCTGAGTAAGTGTTGATCTTGAAAACCTTGCTTTTAGGTCCAGGTGTTATGCTTTATAAAGTAGATGCTCTTCTAATAAGATAGTTAAGCTGATTTCAATTAGATGTATAAGGCACACCTGGAAATACAGTGCAACTGACTAACTTATCCCATGGTCATTACCCAGTTAATTAACTAGGTTGTTATTTAAGCGATCCAGTTCTGCCTTATAAAAGTCAATGTGCCAAGATCATAGGTTACATTTAGAAGTTCAGACTTTTCTCTTGAAACATTCAAAAGCATATATTTTCCCCTATTTAATACCGTGTTTTAATTTCTAAAAGATGATTAGCTACATATTTATGTCATGGTACTATGCTATTGATTACTAATAAACATAAGTGGTTTTGATTCTAATAAAATGGAAGTTTAACCCACTAAGGAAATTGCTAATAAACTCTTCCAGATTTGTAAAGGAGAAAGTAAAGAAATAAAAACCTTGTGAAAGAAAATATAAATTCCCTTTTCTCCAGAAATGTTTGTTTTTTGTGTGTGTGTATAAAACTTGAATGCATTTTAAAATAATTTCATCTTTAAGGAATAGTTCACTTCAACACATTCTCACTCTCTAAAAAGTAGGATTGATTTTCTGGAAGGAAATCTATACATGATATTTGTAGATTTCTATCTTCTCAAAGTGGACCTGAAATTCATTAGAAACAAGATCCAGGTGATTCTGTTCTTCTAATGATGTAGATTGTAGGAGTAGTTTGCTTTTGAACCGATTCTATGGACATCTTCTGCCATCTAGTGGACATACGTAGAAGTGTCGCCCTAGGCTAGAATACATCCTTTGATTCTGAATTTGCTTTCTTGATATTGGAAAAAAGGTTCTCTAATTATCAAAGGAGCCTCTCATTCAAAATCCTTGATAAACAAAAATAACATCACAGCTTTTGTAGTGAAAGTCCTGTCTGTTGTCATATAAAATTATATATACATTTATTACAAAAAGCGCATAGGCTGTATATCAGTTTCCAAAATATATATAAATTAAACTTTCTCTGAATCCAAAATATATATAAATTAAACTTTCTCTGAATCACTTGGCAGCTATAGCCTGCCTAGATGCATATGCTTAAATTGCTAATGCAAAGCATTGTATATAAAAGTTTTCCACTTACACAGCAATTGTTAGTTTCGGGTGCCCTCCTGTGTTTGTGAGATAAACTACAGACTCGTATAGACCAATCGGGCTTTGGATGACATTCTGATTTTAGTGCTGGCATAAGTTTACTGAGTCCTTGAAATAGTTTTTGTAGCAGTGAAAATTCACCCAAGCCAACTGCATGCTGTTGTCTGGTAGTTTGGTAACTTCAGTTATACTGAAAGCAAAGCTGAGAGTCTGTGAAAGAGTAACTTAATCATTTGCCTTGCAGACCTTTTTCTTTCTATTGCAAATCTACCTGGATGATAGTGAGATTATATTTATTACATTACTTCATTAGCACAGTGTAAAAAAGCTTTGCCATTTCTATCTTCACAATTAGTCCAAACCACCACATTATAAATAAAATCCCCAAAATATCACCGCACTCTTTATAACAGTTTGGCACCCTTCCCAACATAGACTTTAATTCATTTTATGAAGCCTCTGAACGATTTTCAAAATACAGTTACTTTCAGAGGAGACAAATAAATCTTCTAATTCCCTGAAATTAATTGCCTAATTTACTTACTAATTTCCAAAGTGGAAATTTTTCAGCAGATCTGAAAAAATACTGACATGATAGTATTTGTTGTTCTCCTATGGTTTTCCCTGATTGGAAATTTTAAATTATCTAAAGGATTTTCTGCCAACAAATGTCTGAAAATAGGTCGTCTTTTATAAGTAAATGATTCTCATCCTTAGATAAATCTATTTTCCAGGTACCAAGTGAGAGGAATAAAGATATCATGAACTTGAACATAATCTTTGTTTGCTTTTTTCAAAAAATGTATTTGTCTGCCAGGTGTTGTCCATTCGGTGTGTTCTTAAAAAGCTCTGGTTCTTAGTTTGTACTGTACAGGAGAGTTAAGACCTGTTCTGAGAGGGAAAAAAATGTAAGAGATCATGCAGTTAATGTAATAACCATGGCAAAACAGGTCTGACAATTGAAAACGACACATCACTTAGCAGAGATCAGGAAATATAATGAAAAAGAAGATAGCATGAGAGAGAAAACTATCTGGGAGGCAGGGCTGGAACAGACAGGTTAAAGAAGGAAGGGGTATGTCAGATGTAGCAAATGGCATAAACAGGCACTCCCTGATTGAAAAATGTATCTTTTGATTACCTTCAACTAAAATAAATTAGAACACAAATTTTCATCGGTTATGGCTTACTTGTTAAAGTCCTGGAGGCTGACAGTTGTATCAATCACGTTCTTTCTTTGAAGTTTGTAGCTCAGAACCAGAAAATGTTCAAGCGGACCCAGAGAATCATACCAGCCTTCTCGTCACCTGGGAGAGACCTCGAGTTGTTTATGACACCATGATTGAGAAGTTTGCAGTTGTGTATCAGCAGCTAGAAGGAGAAGACCAAACCAAGCATGAATTTTTGACAGATGGCTATCAAGATTTGGTGACTATGCAAGCGATTGTTTCTAGTAGATTGTTTCTAGTATTGATAACATCAGAGTTTAATTTTTCAAAGTGTTTACACGTGCTTGTAAATTGCTGCTCTCAACTACTTTAGATGTTTCTGAAGCTCTCCGTTTGGAGAGAAGAGAGCAGAAGTGTTGGTAGGGAAATATTGGGGCGTGATTGAGAAAGTTCCTTCTGGGTGGGGAACCCCAGACGAGGTCAAGGAGATACACTAAGCATTTAGACAGAATCCCACATGCAAGGTCTACAGACCTTCATGTAAACAGTTATGTGCATGATGTTGATTGCCATATGGAAAGAATAGACAAAATTTGTAATGATTTTCAAATTTAGTTGACTAGAAATTTAGTTGACACGACAAGCAGGAAAAGTTGTGGTATTTGCTATTTTTCATTTCGTAGATGAGGATGAAACTGGACTTTTATTCTTCTTTTACATTCTACTCCTTGTTTGTACATACTACCCCACTTATTTCTCTGAACTATCCATTTGCTGTTTGGGGTACTCATTTATGTTGATAAGTTGTAGTTAAAAATGAAATTTGCTAAAATTAAAATCCGATTTAAGAAGCCAAAGGGCCTCATTTGCAGTATGTTCTAATTCATAAATATTACAAATTTTACTTTACTTTACTTAATCACATAAACTTTTTCTTGTGTGAGTAAAAGATTAGCATTTTCCATTGACAAGAAAAGGTTTCTCAGACGAGATGGCTACTGTTAGTACTCTGATGAAAATAACCCTTGTGTGTAATTATGAACTGCTTCCTTTTTAGGGTGCTATTCTCAGTAATTTACTACCAAACATGAGCTATGTTCTTCAAATAGTTGCCATTTGCGCTAATGGCTTGTATGGAAAATACAGTGACCAGTTGATTGTTGACATGCCTTCCAGTGATGCTGGTAAGTGTTCCCCTGATACATCTTTATATTATCAAAATAAATGAGGCTAATTTAACTACTGGATGGAATGGTGCTTCCTCCCTGACTTTATATTCTTTTGGCCAAAAAGCAAAATGATCTTTTTAGAAGGGCCACTAGGTAATATTGTGAAGCATGGAATCCATATTTTATTCAGCAGATTTGATGCAGGAAAAGAAGGAAATTGATTTTTAATATTGTAGTTTCTAAAAGAAGAACAGTAAAATCTCCTAAAGTGTCTGTGACGAGTAAAGGAATATTGCTATGTAAATGTTAGTATTTATTTTAGATAATTAAGAGTTGGTTTCATTGATGTTTCCTTTTTTAGCCCACAAAGTATTTTGTAGTAAGTATATACGTGGTCCTAGGATCAGATGAGGTACTCTCAAATATCTGTACAAAGCATCTCAAGAGTTTTTGCCCATGTTTTATAATTTGGTGGCTGTGGAGGAGTGCTTTTCTCGGGGTTGATTTGCCAGCCTTATTTCACAAAACATAAAGGTGTGTTTAGTTGTATTTAGTTTGCATGCATCTTCTCTAAATATTATGGGAAATATCTTTTGATCTTAAAGCATATGCAATAATAGAACAAAATGTTAACCAGCATGATTTGACACTTACAAATCTGTACAATTAAGTTGAAGCTTTCCTTTTCTTGTTTAAGTAGCTTTGAAGCAATAGATGGAAAGCATATATCTGCCTGTATATATGTACATCTGTATATGTGCATGTGTTCACACACATACACCTATATATTTGTAAAAGTGCATACAAATATGTAGACTTTTTGATCAACCCCATCATGAGGTTACTCACTGACATTTTATAGGCTTTTAATGGAAATGAGTAGTTACAAATTGCATTAATTACTTTACATTCCAGGTTACATTTGGAAGGAAAACTGATGTGTATTGGCTTGCCATTGTGGTCTAAATGCACAATAAGCTTGTGCACCAATCACCTCACTGTGGTTGTGCTAACTAACTAGTTAAATATTTCAAGTTAGAGAATATATGTCAGAGTATTAGCTATTTGAGTATATAATCTTCCAAACTGAAGATCATAAAACTTTCCAAGAAGTTTCCCAAATTAGAGCACTGATGACTATTGGCTGTTACTATTATCATGATAGAAGTATCACTCTTTAATAATATTTATCATCTATCTCTTTATCTGGATGTAACCATAGTTCCCACAACTTTTTAGCATTTAAGCTTCACTTAGCATTTTCAAAAATATTTAAATGGATTTTGAGTTCTACATTTTATTGAAAGGTGAGCATTGAAATCACTGACCATAGTTTCAGCTACATCATTGTATGTTTTGATCCACCCAAAAAATAACATCGTTAGCAGTCAGCATTGGCTATGTTGGCCAATAACATGTGAATTGATGAATTGTGCATATAAAAATCTCCTCTAATTCTATTGTGTATATGAAGATATAGATTATATTTAATATACCCACTTATTTTTGCCATATTGGTTTAATTATACTACTCTAATTTCTGTACATGTAGCAGTTTCACAAGATTTTACAAAAATATCTACTTGTAGGTGTTTATGTTATATACAATTTTTACTCCATCCACTATGCCAAAATGTTAAACTTTCTGAATTTCCTTTATTTTTTGGAGAGGTTTATTGCATATGGAAAAAGAGAGCAAATGTGTATTTCCTATAAGTGTGATTCTGAGTGATTCTTTTAAACTGAATATATATCAGTACAAAGTGGAAAACTCTTGTATCATTTGAAGTTCTTTCACATTTGCACAAATTAATAAATGTTATAACTTAATTTCTATTTATTCAAAGGATCGGGACGCTATTGAGCACTTTAAGAATGAAATGCTAGTTTGGACACACCATTTACTCCCCATGGATATCTTGGGTCCCTTAAAAAATTGTGTATAGTAATGATGTCATAGTCATAGATGATATTTGGTTGATATTTTATTACGCTTTTATAATCTTTAAAATCAAGGGTTCAAACGTTTGGGAGATTATGCCTTAATGATTTCTACCCAAAATTCCTTTATCAAAAACCAATTTAGCCAAATTTTGGGTCTTTCTAATTTTTGGAAAGAAAATATAATTTATCTTAAAATTCATTTATTTTTACATAAAAGTCTCCCGTGTCATTTCAATCCATACATTTACAATTAATTAGAATATTTTAATTTTGTTTTATGGTAAAAATAGAAGTTGTGAGAGCAGGACTCTCTTTTGGCTTAGTGTGATGATAGCTATAATATTTGTGTATTTTATGATATATGTAGGCTAATATAGATTATAGTGACTTTTAAGTTTGTTGCTTGTTTCATGATTTTTTAGTAGTATCATTTCATCTTGTTAATCATGTTGTTCTGTCATCTTAGTAAAAAAAAGCTTTTTGAATATTCTGTGATTTTGGAAAAGTGTCTTCTAAATATGGAATTTTTAATTTAAGAATAAATGAAGATCACTTACAATTCCCCTCACTCTTTCAATCATAGATTTCAAATATTCTAGTCAATATCTGTTAAAGAAAAGAAAGCCTCTCACTGTACATTCAACCTTGGCTAATCCAATTAATTCATTACAGGCACCTGTTGTTGTATACAGCATTATACCATAATCTAGTATCCATTAAAATTATTATAAATTGCTATTTTAAAGTAAATGTATAAACTCATATTTGAAAATAATTTAAACTTGTCCAGGAAACTTTTTTAAGTTAAGCAGAAATGTATAGTCAAGTATTTTGAGGAAGTATTCAAGGTATTCAAGTATTATAGATAATATTAGTTAAGTACATATCTTAGGGCCTTTTCAGTTATGTTTTGCATTTTAATGTTTGGTTAACTGGATCTACACAGCTCCCTGTTATTGTGTGTTTTTCAGTTGTGTAACAGTTGTCTTTGTTAAATCACTATACATCTGTCCTTACTCTGCCTGTACCATCCTATGCTATTGGTGCTTTTATATAATGATATTTAAAATCACAGTTTGAAGAGATTGCGATCTATAATATGCTCACCTTTTGCACTGTGAAACTTGGCTTACCATCAACAATTAAATTATCCTTGCTTGCCAACCTACATCAGTGTTGCTTTTTTGTGTGATGGAATTTTAATGTGTCACTCACATGTTCTTTTGGAAAGATCTAATATTGCATGTGTCCCAAAGCAAGTCCAGAAAAGTGTTGTTGCTCAATTATCACACAAATGTCAATATTTGGTATTCACCACCCCCCCCAAAGTTCTTAAAGTTGTTCACTCTCAGACTTTTTTGTAGCCTTTATAGAATCTATTTTGATGATGTAAGATGATTCTGTAAACCTGTATAATTTTGAATTATTGAATATATCAGTAGTGCTTGAATCTAATCAATGACTACTAAAACATTGGTTATTATTTGTGAGTAAACAGCAGGCTAACGGGTACTCAATATTAGACCACGTGCCAACCACCAGAGCTAGACTTTTGAATAATGTGATCTTGACCAGTAGAGAAGTCAGGCATGAGTGTAGACACAATCTTACAAAATTATGGAATGTAGAATTATTCTGAAAATTATTGAAAGGGCTTAGCAAGAGACTACTGTATTGCTGGGATAGGGGGGTGTTTGAAGTGTTCCTGGGCTACCCCCAGAGTTTCCATTGACGTAAATATCTGAGACTAATCAGAAACCACTTTGAAGAACATTCTAAATGGGTTTATATTGACCACTGTGAAGGTACCATACTTGGGGTAATAACCCATGGGGGTGCTGTGAAGCAAAGATGGTCTCTGAGAGACATTGAGCCCAAATATTCTGCCCCTAGAATCTAAAAGGACACTAAAAAAAACATCTTACTACAATAAATGCAAACCCTGGTATATTAGAACACGCAGATGTTCGCAGGGGATATGACTGGGTAAAATCGTGTATTTTAGCTTATTGGGAGTTACAAACTACATGGTTCATTTATGCTCTGATAAAAGGATAAAAATAAATCAAATGCAACACACACAGAGAATAAGGAAAGAAAAGGAAATCAGTCCCCAATGTGATAATTATATATATGTGTATATTCCCACCCCATTCTTACTACTAATAAGAAAATTACCTTTGTCCATTAAAAGTGTGAAATTTGGCCTTTTAAAAACTCTAAAATAGTCCTGTAAACATTTAAAAGATAATGAGCTATTGTTGAGATTTATCATAACCTCTTAACAGAAAAATTTAAAGTATATGTGTCACTGACATGTACTTGATTATAGTTTGTCCTTAGAGGCACTAAGTTTATTTATTTATTTATTTTAAAGATTTATTTATTTGTGCATACAGAACTGGGGTACAGGCCAGAGGCTCAGGGGGCAGCGAGAGGCACACACGGAGCAGGGAGCAGAACAGGCAGATAGATGAAGTACATTGCTGAGGGGAGCAGCGGGTGAGTCAGGAGAGGTCTGCCTCGCCATGTGGTCACTTCCGGGGCAGCGGGAATCGAACTCATGTGGAAATGGCATTAGCTTCTTAGTGCAGTACTTTAACCTGCTGTGCCACCAGGGAGGGCCTAAATATTTTTAAAGTACATATGAAGGAATGACTCCATTTCCAAGTATTTCCAATTCAATTAGGGGTTGTCTCATATGCTGAATGTGAAGATTTTGACAAACATGAACTTCTCTAATTTTAGAGTTTAGAAAATCACACAAAAGTTCTTATTTGTCTGACAGTTATGTCTGCATTTTAAATTCACTTCTTGTATTGGTTTCCTTGGAATTTGCAGAAGCAGTATTGTTTCAAGTACCTGAAATCACTTTAATTTGGGAACATCAAGACTAAAAAGCAAGAAAAGTAGAGAGTGGAGAAGGTTTCCTAGAGACAAAAACAGAAAAAGAAGAATATTATGATCCAAATAAAAGTTTCCAAACCCTTTTATGGTGGGTTTTAACCAGAATGAAAAATAATTGAGAGTTAAACTTTAAAATTGTAATTGCTACTAGTATTTTCATTTTTCTAGCAGAGAAAATTGTCCAGGGTAAGTAACTGAAAAAGCTAAATATTCAAGAATATAAACTTTAAATAAAATCTTCTTGTAATCTGGACTTAGAAATTTTGCTTGAGTTGTCTTCTAAATAGAATTCATTCACTATGTTTCATGGTTTAACATTTCTTAATACTAGAAGTTTTCTGGTAAAAATAAAACTCAAGGATCCTCTATCATAAAACATTCTGGGTTTGATACACAATGTTAATTCAGTCGTGCCTTTGGGATTTCCATAAAGGATGCATTTCCTTGGAGGGCTGGTAAAGGCATAAAACAGAACATTGGGATAACGAAGAGGAAAATCTTAGGAGCAGGAAGCAGATGCTAGAAATTAAAAGAAGTAAGAGGAACATCTTTATAAAGGTACTCAAGCGACCTCACGGTTACCTGCCCCCATCTCCCCTCCTACGCAGCTCTAGACAGAACTGAGAGACATGCTCCACTAGGCTCTGGCACTTGGTGTGGGCGTGGTTCCTCACAGTTGAAGGAGAACCGGTACTCCAGTTCTCACCCTTCCCTAACATCTGACAAGGCCTGTTTGAGACTGACATTTCCGTCTACTAGAGACATATTGCTCAACATCAGTTTGGTAAAAACAGACTAGGAGGCTCCTGGCAAGGGACTCCCTGGGGAGCAGGCCAAGAGTCCAGCTTTAGCCCTGCTAGGTACAGCAGCCTCAATACAAAGATGTATAAGCCAGAGAGTAAAAAAAAAAAAAAAAATGTCTTCAATCAGAAGCAGAAATAAAAGAAGTTGCTGAATAAAACTAAATAAATCTTGCCTCTCCCCCCGGGGGGGGGGGGGGAAGTCCCTGCTAACAACGAAAGTTATTTTGCACTGGTTAAAAAAAAAAATGTATATACAAACGTGTCACCCGCTCCTCTCTTAGCTTCAAGCACTTGTGGGCGTGGGAAAGGAATTGCAGTAGAGAACAGAGATGAAGGTTTGGACCACAGTTTATATATTTATGTTGTGTTGTGGTAAGTAGTATTTGGTCGGGTTAAAAACTAGAATTTGAGTTTTTTTATATTGTGAGCAATTCTGTATTTTCAATACTAACTTTTTTTTCCCCCTCTTTTTCCTATTTCCACCCCAAGGTAAACCACAAATTGAAATCGGTGAATAAAAGTTTAATAGTTTTGTTTCTAATTTTGTAGAACTTGACCTGTTTCCTGAACTAATTGGAACTGGAGAAATATTCAAGGTATCATAGCTGTCTTTACATTACAATATTTGAAAATGTAAAAGCTTGTTCCTAATTACTAGTTAGTTTCCAGATGTTTCATTAATAAAAGTTTGTTTTGTATTTCTCTTTTCTGGGGTTTGTTGCTGAGTCATGTAAGTGAGATACAGTTTTGGGGTTTTTTTTTTTTTTTTTTTTTTTTTAAAGATTTATTTATTTATTCATACAGAACTGGGGTACAGGCCAGAGGCTCAGGGGCGGTGAGAGGCTTCACCAGAGACAGAGCGGGGAGCAGAACAGGAAGATTGACGAAGTACACTGCTGAGGGGAGCAGCGGGCGGGTCAGGAGAGGTCTGGCTCGCCATGTGGTCTCCTCCAGGGCAGGCGGCAGGCGGGAATCGAACTCATGCGGAAGTGGCTTCAGATTCTCAGTGCTGTGCTTTTAACCCGCTGCGCCACCAGGGAGGGCCACAGTTTTGGGGTTTTTTTAATGAAGAAGTTGGAAGACTATTATTATTTGAAAACAAATAGAAAAGCTTGGCAATAATGAAAAAATAGTGAATTTAAAAATTATAACTGTGATGTATAGTAACAAATTGGAATTTTTTTGATGTTCACATTTTTGTAAAATACTTGAATATTAGTTAACCAATTCTTAATATTGCTACAATTACTTTATAATTACCTGCAACAGTGATTGAAAGCTTGATAATAAATAAGGGCCAATATATAAATTGTATATATTTTTTACCCATATAACTTGAATTTTTTGTGTTTGGGCTATTTATATCTAAGTCTCCATTGCTAGCACAATGTCGTTCAGGTAACTGAATAGTCATGAGTATTCATCAGTTTTAGTATTGTCTTTTCCATTGAAATACTATTGTCTTATAACACTGTATAAGTTATATTGTGTTCATTCAGAATCAACATGTATACACAATATTTTATTAGCAATAAAATGACCATAATCTCATCCTCAACCCAAATATACTATTCATCATAACAGATTATATATTAATTCTAGGTGCTATTGTTAGTAGCGTTGTTAATAATTGTGTAGTGTGGATATGTACATATGAATGCATGAACAGATAAAAATGTAAAAACAAATGCTATTGCCTAGCAATAAATAGCAATTAGATTGTATTTTCACATGTATAATTATGTTAATATAATTTTACATATCAACTCAAAGGCAGAAAATATAAATTATTTTTATACTGTAAGCTAAAGGTGTTGGTCCATATCTTAGTCAATTTGGATAAAATACCATAAACTGGTGTATTTACAAACCACAGAAAATTATGTCTTTCGATTCTCGAGCTTGATTGACTACTATCAGGTGACTGTAGTTTTTCTGACATTAACTACATGTTTGTGAAGAAACACATAACCTGCCTGCTGTTTCTAAGGAAAGGGCTAGATTAAATAATTAGTTCTAGAAGCATATTTTGACAATTTGCATTAAAATGTGTCCTCTGACTTAAGTGGAAAATAATAAAAACAGAAACAAAATCCTATTCCAGTCCTTTATGGTGGCTTCAAAAATATTTTCTGAAAATAATAAAATATTCTAAACAGTTAACCACTCTGGTTTCATTGCTATTTCATATAATAAGAAATTAATTGCTATTTTACTGGTTTTCAGATGAATGGAACAAAGAAAGGTGAAAATAAGAAAATAAGTACCATGTTGAATAATGCTCAATAAATAAAGGCAGCTATAATATGTTGCCTTCCTTTTAAAGCCACTATATCTATTAATTTAATCACTTCCATAAGATTAAAATAAAGGAAGTAATGAAAGGGTGTTTTTGTGAAATTTCATTACCACACCCGGGGGTAGATGGTGCAGGTTAGAGAGGGTTGGTTTCCATGAGGTGCTGCTTTATGAAGCAAAAAGTCCAGGATCCAGCAAGTGGAGGTGAACCCCGTAACCTAGCCTTTGACAGTATCAATGTTTGTTTTCCTATTTCCTTGTCTTCCATTAAATCCTTTTGTTTTTTAAAGGAGGAAGAAGAGGGGAAAGACAAGGAAGAAGACATTCGCATGAATCCTGGCAGAGATGATGTCACAAACCAGATAAGGAAAAAGGAACCACAGATTCCTACTACGACAAACTACAATCACGCTGAGACCAAGTACAATGAGGCCAAGACAAACTGGTTGCCCACAAGAGGAGGCGAAATCTCTGGAAAGGGTGATGTTCCTCACACATCCTTAGATTCCACTTCTCAGCCAGTCACAGAATTAGCCCCAGAGAAGGAAGTTTCCTTGACTCCACAGAGTGTGACCCAACCTCCTGCTCACACTCTGGAAGGCACACCAGGCTCTTCCAACGATGGCTTTCACACTGTTATCAGATTTCCACAAGTAAACTTGCCTGGGACCCAGGAATCCTTAAATGCCATTTCTACAATGGAATCTCAAGAAGTATCTACTGACATTAGTGAGGAAGACAACCTACTAACCAGTATCAAGCTGGATGTGGGCACTGATTCTTCAGGCTCCATTCTTGCAACTTCTCCTCTTCCATTTATTTCCGAAAACATATCCCAGGGGTATGTATTTTCCTCAGAAAACCCAGAGGCCATCACGTTTGATGTCCTTATACCAGAATCCACAAGAAAGGGGTCGGAAGAGTCATCCTCATCAGGTTCAGAAGAGTCTCTGAAGGATCCTTCTGTTGATGGAAACATGTGGTTACCTAGCACTATAGGCATCACAGCAGAGCACGATGTTGGTTCTGGTAAAGAGGGCTTTCTCCAGACTAGTTACACGAAGATACCAGTAGATGAGTCTACGATTACAACTGAGTCATTTTCTCCAGATCTACCCGTTGATGAGCCAAAGAAGGCAACCGAGTCCTCTTCTCCAAGTCTACCAGTTGATGAGCCAAAAAAGTCAAGTGAGTCCTCTTCTACAGGTCTACCAATTGATGAGCCTAAGAAGTCAAGCGAATCCTCTTCTCCAGGTCTACCAGTTGATGAGCCTATGAAAGCAACCGAGTTCTCTCAAGGTCTACCAGTTGATGAGCCGAAGAAGGCAACTGAGTCCTCATCTCAAGGTCCACCTGTTGATGAGCTGAAGAAGGAAACTGAGTCCTCTTTTCCAGGTCTACCTTTTGATGAGCTGAAGAAGGCAGCAGAGTCCTCTTCTCCAGATCTACCGGTTGATGAGCCTAAGAAGGCAACTGAGTCCTTTTCTCCAGGTCTGCCAGTTGATAAGTCTCTGAAAGCAACCGAGTCCTCTTCTCCAGGTCTACCAGTTGATGAGCCTAAGCAGGCAACTGAGTCCTTTTCTCCAGGTCTACCAGTTGATAAGTCTATGAAAGCAACCGAGTCCTCTTTTCCAGGTCTACTGGTTGATGAGCCTAAGACAGCCACTGAGTCCTCTTCTCAAGGTCCACCAGTTGATGAACCAAAGAAGGCAGATGAGTCCTCTTCTCCAGGTCTACCAGTTGATGAGCCTAAGAAGGCAACCGAGTCTTCTCCAGGTCCACCGTTTGATGAGCCTAAGAAGTCAAGCAAGTCCTTTTCTCCAGGTCTATCTGTTGATGAGCCTCCTAAGAAGTCAAGTGAGTCCTCTTCTCCAGGTCTACCGGTAGATGAGCTTATGAAAGCAACCGAGTCCGCTTCTTCAGGTCTACCAGTTGATGAGCCTATGAAAGCAACTGAGTCCTCTTCTCCAGGCCTACCAGTTGATGAGCCGAAGAAGGCAACCAAGTCCTCTTCTCCAGGTCCACCTGTTGATGAACCGAAGAAGGCAGCTGAGTCCTCTTCAGGTTTGTTTGTTGATGAGCCCAAGAAGGCAACCGAGTCCTCTTCTCCAGGTCTACCGGTTGATGAGCCTATGAAAGCAACCGAGTCATTTTCTCCAGGTCTACCAGTTGATGAGCTGAAGAAGGCAACTGAGTCCTCTTTTCCAGGTCTACCGGTTGATGAGCCCAAGAAGGCAACCGAGTCCTTTTCTCCAGGTCTACTGGTTGATGAGCCTATGAAAGCAACCGAGTCATTTTCTCCAGGTCTACCAGTTGATGAGCTGAAGAAGGCAACCGAGTCCTCTTCTCCAGGTCTACCGGTTGATGAACCTAAGAAATCAAGTGAGTCCTCTTCTCCAAGTCTACCAGTTGATGATCCTATGAAAACAACCAAGTCCACTTCTCCAGGTTTACTGGCTGAGCC